GACCTGAGGAGCAGTGGGTCAAAGGGCTCTGTCCAAGTAGGGGCCACACATATTACACCCCCACAGCTGAGAAATACTTTCCAAAGAGGTAAGCTCTCTTCTTACCTCTCTCCAAATACACACTTTTTCTCTCTGACACATTAGCCAGAAAGACAAAATCAAATCCTGATGTGTATGTTTAATTTCTAATATTCTGGCCCTCTGGCCACAAATGCCTGTTCTGTCTGCACAGGTGTCTCAACTGTAATATACTGGCACTGTCTTCCTGCTCTTCCAGTTTCTCTGCTCCTGGTCCACTATCTCCTTGGATCACTCCCTCATTTTCTCCTTCCTTCCAGTCCTGGGGGGGGTCAAACCCCGCCTTGCACATACTGGGTGCTAGGCGAGTGTACTACCACTGAGCTACCTCCCCACCCCCCTCACTCTTTCAATCATCCCCTATATTTTACTGCCCCTTGCACCTGCCCCATATGGCCATGGTGTGTACCTCAGGTCATCCCAAATTGCTGGCCAACTCTACGCTGACTTAGGCTGCTATAAACTGCCAACATTAAGTCTCACATTGGTGCCACAGGCTGGAGCACAAACTTGTAGCTGACAAAGAATAAACATTTAGGTAATTTTATGAGAAGGGCCAAGGGAGAGGAGAGTTTTCGTTGGATTTGATTTTCTCAGGGACACATAGGGAGACTGATGATGGATGGGGAAGAAGAGTAGGTAGAAAAAAATTGGGAAATGTACAGAATAATATTCTACCATTTGACTACTTGAAAAACTTAACTGAATTATGCCATACTGAAAATGATCCTTTTTGGATCCTATGAATCTGAATGTTTAATATGTTCTCTGTACTAACTTTCACGTATTTAACATTTAGCAAAAAATTCAGTTAATTTTGGTGCACACTCTTGGTTAATTATCATTACTCTACAAGAACTCAATCTTTACTAAGCTAAGGTTTTTGTTTTTCTTTTGCCTGTGGATTTGGATTTATTTATTTATTTATTTATTCATTTTTATTCTAAGCTAAGTTTTAAATGTTGCTACTGAAAATCATTTTCTAAAATGTCCTGGTATCCCATTGGCAGACTTAATAAGGACAGAACTTATAAACATAATTCATTTTTTAAAAAATAGAAAAGGAGAAAGCATACAGAGCAGTCAGAACACAGTGGTATGGAAGCCACTCAAGGACGGCAAGGATGGCTGAGAGCCAGAGTGAGGCCCCAGAGTTGTCCCTGCCCTGATCCCCCACTCCTCTTCTCCACACTGGAGAAGTCCAGGACCCATCCCTCTCCCCTAGCTTGGCCTCCTTCCTATTAAGCCATTCTCCAAAAAGCAGCTGGAGTGGTGGTCCCGCAATGTGCACCTGAACTACCTGCAGTGTTCCCCAGCACCCACAGGCGAGCTTCCCTCAGTGGGGAGATGCTAAACCTCCTGCTGCGTGCTTCGTATCTCCCACTGCCTGCTCCACAGTCCCCCAAACACCCTATCTCTGGAAGTTATCAGCCTTCTTCTGGGAAGCTTTCTCCAAGTCTCCCAATATCAGAATTAATCATTCTTTCCTCTGATTGGCCTTTGTATGACCCAGTTTAATTTCTACGGCAGAGGCCCCAGCTATGGACAACCTACTGGGAAAATTAACAGCAGTTTAGTGTTCAATAAGTATACAGACTCTGCATATTCAACTCTGTGTGCCCAAAATCTATGAAGACCTAGCATTCTCTGGGTTCTCAATAAAAAACAAGCAGGCTGAGTTTTCATTCCTGTACTTTTGAAGTTCAAATCTACGTGGAAATCTTACACATTTGCTAGAATAACTTTTTGTTTGCTATAAAACTAAAATAAAGTGAAGTCCACACACTTTGAGAGTGATCTGGGCCACCAAGAAGCACCGTTGAGAACGACTGCAGTTAGTGGAAGCACGAAGCTGACCTATGGGACTTACTCTATCAGGTTTTCAACAGAGTGGCTCTGCGGCTAGGATGACTCATCTGTGACTGTGACATGAGCATGACCACTATCTTGTGAGTCTAGTTTCTTCAGAGGAACAGGGTGTGCAGGCTAAACTGAGAAACATGTGCTTTACATGTGACACATGAGCCATCCTGAAAGGCTGGGAGGAACAGCATGGAAGCAGTCACCTCCTTTTCCCTCTGGGTGTTGAGCAGGTACCCTGGGTTGGCCGATCAGGAAGTAAAGGACAAGATGTCCAGAGGAGGCATAAGGCAGCAATGTCAGAAGCAAGCAGCCAATGGTCATACAACTCTCCCTGACTGAGCAGAGAGCCTCAGAGTGGGGACCAAGCAGCTCTGTAGCCAGAAGGACATCAACCCCCAAATTACTGATGGCCAACAGTGTCACTCACATTGAAGTGAAATGAATCACGCTGACAAATGAAGTCCACATTGTGACCAAGCACTCAAAGGTAAAATGTAGAGGGTTAATGGAAGGCTGGCAGCAAGGGCCGTATGGAGCACGCCAGGTCACAGGCTAGGTACAGTGTCCTGGCATGAAGCCTCCTGGCTGAAAACACTCTCCCATCTCCACCTGATGAAATCCTATCTGAAAGAACAGCAGTTTAGGATTAAGAGACATCCAAGTTCAAATGCTGCCTCTGCCCCTTACTAGACTTGGGAATGTTCATCAAAGGTGACATAGTCTTTGAGCCCTAGTTTCTTCAATATTGATGATTATGCCCTACTATGTAGTGAGCTTAACTAAGAGACTCTGCATTAGAATACAATGCCCATTTTTCAATTCTCAAACTTGGAACACTGCTCATGAGCTTGTCCCTGGGATTCCCAACATGTTTTGCTGTGGCTTTTTCTGCTAATACTTATGACCCATGCCCTATTTCTCACATTTCCACTTATATGGCCTGCTCTGTGATGGGGAGTTGGCTACTAACCACCCACCCCAATGAACATTAAGTCCAGGACACTCAGTTGCTATCAGCTGATAGAAAAACAAAGGCCTCTGCTTTTCCAAAAAGGAGTGGTAGGGAGGAAGGAAAGAAATGCCGAGAAAATAAGGTGGTTCTTGGAGCTTAAATGCTGAGCCAGCTGCTATCTGACAGGCTGTTCCCACCTCCTCCTTGTGTCTGCTCCAACAAAGAGTGGGCCAGGTCTGGAAGGAGGGGGAAAGAATCTTCTGGGATTTTAAGAAGAAAATTTTAGAACAAACAAATATATAGCTATGTCAGTTAGTATTGTTTCTATGGAACAAAATTCTTAAAACCTCTAAGTGATTTTCCTGTATTCCATGGTGTTCTCTCCTGAACAGAAATGCATTCTTTATCACTTATACGGCTTTTGATCCAGGGCTGTGTGCCCTGCTGAGTTGACAGGAAATACACAAATATAGTACAGAAACACAGCAATTCATAACATCATAGATGGCAAAACAAAATCGGTATCTAAACACTTCCTGGTACATTATTAATTCATTAGCTCAGAGAAACTAGAACAGAGTCAGAACTTGAGCAAACACAGGGGTAGCTGCATCCACATAGAAAGTACCGCCCCTCGGGTTAAAAAGCAGGGTCTAGGGAGTTAGCGTGGTCTCCCACTGCTCAGCCAGTGCAGCTCCGAGCCAGCCACCATCAGCCACACGTGCGAGCGAGCGAGCCAGCATGCTGCCCAGGTGAGGGCACACCCAATGCTCCTTCCTGCCGCTAGTCCTGTGCCACAGCCCATCTGCTGGCAGGTAAAAAAGGACTCGAGGACAGCCCCAGTGCTCAACACTGGGAGCTAAGAAATGACATTGTTTCTTAATGTGGAACAAAAACACAGATTTAATTAATGTATCAGGGGAGGGACGTGTGGGGAAGGCCACAATATGGTCTAAAAATTAATTTTTTCTCTAGACTAAACCTCCTCCAAGCAAAATCATAAGCTCTTCTCCATTATTAAAGCCAAGGATTATGGAAAAATAAGCATCGGGCACATTCTACTGCAAATCTTAGAAGTAGGGAGAATTTGTATTATGAAATTAACAGCCTGGGGCTGCAGTGAACACCTAATCCCAGCTACTAAGGAGGTTGAGGTAGCAAGATCCCAAGTTCAAGGCTAGCCTGGGCCAGCTGGTGAACCCCTGTAGCAAATTTTATTCAAAATACTAAAAGGGTTATGAATATACCTAAGTAGCAGAATGCTTAGATCGAAGGTAAGGAAGGCACTGGGTTCAATTCCCACTATCACAAAAAAATAAAAATGACCAATGCCTTCATTTTTGCTATGAAATATATTTTAAAAGTCTGGAAAATGAGGCCCAGGTTTTTTAAAAAAATTAAACGAAGTGCAAATGGAAGGGCAAACATGAGTTGGATTGAGAGCTTTTTCTGCCTCTGAGATCCATTTTTTTCTTGCTTACGGTCACACTTCAAATTTCTCTTTTAATAAGAGTGCCATTTTCTTAAACAATATTAAGCAATGTGGAAGAACACAGGCAAAAACACTCTGTGTTGAAAGAGACGTGAAAAAGTCAGTTTTTATAAATATTCTTGAAAATTTACATCAAAAGTACAAGTTAAAATTACTAAATATTTTTTAAAAGTAATTTCATGACCACTAGAAATGATTTTTTGAAAAATATTGTCTCCATTAACTTTGGATCTCTGGGTTGTCTTTTTAAAAACGGGGGAAAAAGCTCTCCTAGCCCAGAACTGCTTGGTGGATATTTGAAGGTGTTTTTTAAAAAAAAAAAAAATCACGTTTCTATGCTGAAAAGTTATCAAGACCAGCTCTCTGCTGCATTTGCATTGTTATTAGGAACACACACACACACACACATACACACACCCACGCGGGCACACGCATTGAGTTTAATGTGAGGCTAGAACAGAAACAGAGAGATTAGACACAAAGAAATGTAAACAGCTCTAACATGCAAGGAAACTAGGTTACGAGAATCCCAGCACCAGGCATTCACCAGTCACCATGGAAAACAGGAAGTGAGATGCATAGCAACCACAAGCCAAAAAGCAGAAAAGCGCATACCTTTAGCTTGGAATGAAAATCACGAGATTTCCTTCTGGCAAGAACCTGAATGTGACTAGACACCTGCAGGGTAGGGGAAGGGAGGAAAACAAAGGAAAAGCCTGTAACCATGGAGATGAAAAGCCCCCTACAACTGGGCAAGCCAGACGTACCTTAATGGCGGCTTGAATTTCTCGAACTTTCTTTCTTGCTAAGACCTGTATATGACTAGACACCTACATTGTTCGGGTTTATGAAGGGAAACAAAACAAAACAAAACAAAACAAAACAAAACAAAACAAAAAAAGGAAATCAAATATAAAATCGCTACTCCTTGGGAAGGTTGGGGAGGGGGAGGTTATTTGCATCTCAACAAAGCTGTGCGGTTAGGAACACACAGTCCCGGCCAGACACCAAGCCCCCAGCACTGCTCTAAGCTCTTTAGACTGGGTCATCACTGCAGTGACACGATTCAGGATGAACATTAGGCTCATCTCTACTTTCCCACCCGGGATATATCAAGGGCACTGGGAGAAGCTAATTTGGGGAGGGGTGAGGGGGAGAATAGGGCTGTTTACTTTATAAAATTACAAAGATGGAGGTGGAGGTAAATGAAAATGTTTATAGCATCTCAGTATCAGGAGGGAAAATCCCCTTTCCTCAATGTAGAGGAGAATATCCATAAATTAGCACATTGTGTAAAATCAAATAGCTGAAGCTGTCAGTTGTATTCCAATCTCATTAAGAGCTCTGGATTCTGTAGCAAATGTTAAAATAATACTGACATGTAAATTAGATCTCAAAGAGAAATGGAAAGACCCAGTTAGCAGAGTGGGGTTCCCCTCCCCTTATAAAATATCTTTAATCCTTCCACTCTTTTGGGTATTGACTGGGTGCCAAGTAGATTTGCATATTATTACAAAGCAAAACGTGTGAATACAGCCAGCCAGCCATCCTGTTAGAAATCTGGGTTGGAAACCACATGGATTTGCTGAACAACAAATTCACACTGGAGAGGTATCACCAACTGCTGCCTAAAAAAAACCCAGGAAGCTGGGGTGTGGAAACACAGCCAAGCCCAGCTTCTGAAGCACAAGGACTCCAGCAATAGACAAATTTTGCATCTCTATTGGTGGGAGTTGGTTAAATTTAGAAGACTCCCCCAGTGCCGGAGTCATGGGCAAGTGACAGACCTCAGAGGCCAGCAGACAGTCCCGTCCGGTGCTTGAGGTAGTTAGAGAATTAGCTCTGTCTGCTTCAGAAACGCAGACCCTCCATTCACAAGTTAGCAACTTTGCAGGGGATTCCCTTATTTCAAACTCTGGTGACTCTAAAAAGAAGATTTATGAGAACAAAAGAGTCTTTGATCTTTCAGTTGGTCTCTGTGTTTCAATTATTCAATTTTTTTCATTTTGCTTTTGTACTTTTTTCAAGTACAAAGAAATAGGGACTCCCCCATTCTCTTCACCCCTCCATCTGGCTCTTGCTGTTATTTATTTTCACCCGAATTTTGTTCATCTGTGAGAGGATGTGGGCCACTGTTGGGGAACATCCCCCCAAACAGACAATGCCCTGCCTCAGGGATGGCAGGAGGCCACCCCATTCCTGCTGACTCAGCACCAGGTCCCAGGCACAGGCAGCATTCCTGGGGGAAAGTCCCAGCCCCTGATCCACACTCAAAGAAACCACTCCTCCAAGGAGGTGAATCCAATGCTGCTAGTCTTAAAGAGACTACTGGTGAGCTTTTTGTTTCATTATAGGGGTTATTTTTGAAACTTAAGTTGCCCACACTGGTCTCCAACGCATGGCCTCCTGTCTCAGCCTCCCAAGTAGCTGGGACTACCGGCATGTACCACCATGCCTGGCTGATTGTAGTTTTTAAGGTCCATGCCATATCACTCAGCCAAAGTCAACATTAAAAATACTTTTTATCTGTTAACTCACGCAGGAGGTGTTTTTCTTTTCTTTTTCTATTCTCACAATTTCCTGTTTCTAAATCCCGATTTTTTGTTTGTTTGTTTGCATTTTGAGACAGGGTCTTGCTTTGTGGTTTAGGCTGGCCTTGAACTCCTGGATCCTCCTGCCTCAGTCTCCCAAGTGCTGGAATTACAGATGTGCTCCACTCAGCCTGGCTAAACCCTGATTTTTTTTTTAAACCTTCCCAGTTCTGAACTGGGTCACACATCAGAGTTCAGTTGCTTTGTATCTTACAGATGCAGCGCAGGCAAAACCCTGGAGAAGGGTGCAGGAGCAGCCTGCCCCTGCTCTGTAGAGGTATTAAAATTGTAACTTCATTTCAGTCCCAGCAGCCAACAAAAAGCCATCACTTAAGAAGGGACAGCATACTGGACGCACATCATTCAGTATTTATATTCAGGCCAACACGCAAGGCTTCCAGCATTACTTTTTCATTGAAAGGATGATTAATATGATTCATGTTCCAGGCTGTTACAAAGCACAAATCTCAAAGCCTTATCCCCAAGAGCCAAGTGGGGAAATGTACTGCCATGATACCACATGAAATAAATACTCACTTCACCTGTGAGCGCAAGCCTACAAGTATAGTTACACCTTGCAGCTTTTGCAATGCTGGCAGATACATGTTCTGGGAAAGAAGAATCAGCTTGGAAACACAGTGCAGGGACAGCTCAGACACTGTCCTCAGTAGCCAACCTTCCCCATATCGGATGAAAAGAACTTGGGAGACCACAGACTGCAGGGTCACTGAAATGATGAACAGTGAAAACTGAGCCAATATGAAACACCTCCAACGCTGACATCCTGAGAGGGGACTGGAACTGGGGGCTCCTCAGAGCCAAAGCACAGCAGCCACTGCAGCCAAATGCCTCTCGGGCCATTCGCTGACATGCACACCACCCAGGTGGACTACTGTACCTGCTTTCTGGTCCTCGTCTTCCCTGTCCTGAGTTTGATGTATCTGGCTATCAATTCATTCCTACCTGAAAGAAAGAAGAATTTAAGATAAAGTGGGTTAAAAAAAAAAATCCAAATCAAGAATTTTTAAACTATGGCTACTCATTTATTCATTATAGGGAAAATAGATAGTACAGTTCCTTGAAGAACTGTTCCATCCACTGAAAACAGAAATGTATCTTCTAAAATCTGCCTTTTTGTTTGTTTGCCTGCCTGTACTTAGACAAGGATGGATTTGTCTAGGAATAAGGAAAACTCGGTTCTGTTTCAGTCTTTCATTTTTCAGTCACTTTCCTCCCCCTGCTGGCTTCCAATCATAGGTAGCCCCACTTAGAGTCCTCGGAAGCACACAGAATGAACGGCAGCGGCCATAGAGGCCCTACAAAGATGAAGGGTAGAGCCCTGTGAAAGCAGGAACCCTAAGAGGAGCTCTCTGCAGCAGTGCCTGCTGACAATACCTATGTAAGACCGCACAAGGGGAAAAGAAATGACTCAACCTCCTCCAAGCTGGGGCCGGGGCTGTTCGGTCTGAAAGTAAAACACTTTCCTACCATACCAGGAGACTGAGAAATCTCACATAGGTAACTTGACTTCGAAGAATAATGATATAACAGGAAAACATATCCCCAGAAGCTATGTGAGGAAATGTATTGCTACGATACCACGTGAAGTAAACACAAACTTTACAAGCCCTAGGTCCTTCTGAGGCGGTCAGATTCATGACTTCGATTTCCTCTCTAACCCCAGGAACTGAAAATATTTTTGACATACTCTGTACAGTAAGTGAACACCTCCACTTCACAACACTCCTTACAGGTGGCTGAAGCCAGCTCCACCTTAATGGAGCCTCTTTTGGTCAAGAACAAGCTTCGGGTCTATCGCACTCACATCCATTCCCTGCCTGGACATCACGACACTGCAGCCAGGTCCTACTTCTCTTTAAAGCCACTTCAAGGTCCTGTTCTTAGGGAAGTCTTTTGGAGCCACCCAGCCGGGGTTGGGCTCCTTGTTCGATCACGGACAACCCGACTGCAGCACAACCTGCACCTCACCCTCCTTCCTAAAATGTGCCCATCGCCGAGTTCGCCATGTGACTGGTGTTTGCGGTGTGAGTTCCCTGACAACACTGCATAACTGCACAGGGAAAAAATTTTGTCTTGTTACCCAAGTCTCAAGGGCAACACCAGAAGGCAATTGGAATCATGGAATCTTAGGGCAAGAGGTACCTTTGAGTCATTCCTTTCCACCTCTGAAATTCTAAGCCCTCCATAAGCTTAAGCCAACCCTTCAAGAATTGAAGAAGCAGCCCACTGCATATTGAAATACACTCAAGGATAAAAAGAGTCTATGTATGTGAGGCTTCACGTAATTTTCATGCTCAGATCCTACTTGCTCCCCTCAATAAGAACAAGACTCTTCTGCACAGGGCTGGCTGCCTTCCAGATATGAGCCACCACTTTCAGGTCTTCCTGGAGTCACCCAAGCTAAAGCTCCTCTGTCCTTTTGTTATATGTGTGACAGGCTTTGGAACACTCCTAGATACCATCCTGTGACCATCCTTTGTCTGTTTTCCTCTCAGAGCCTGAAAATCCAGAATGGTAGGAATGATCCTGCTACAATATAGAGTATTGTATTTGATCCTGCTACAATAGAGTATGTTTATCATACACTACTTCTATAAATGCAACCGAACACTGCACTGGAGTTTTTTTAAGGACCTTGATAAACTGTCAAGCTACACCAACTTGAATTGCTAGGTCTTATTTGAATGGGCTTTCCCTCAGATACGCCTCTAGTGCTTGATCTCAGTAACACCAACCACCCCTTTTGTAACTGCGAGTGAGTGGGTCTGCAGTCAACACAACACAGTTTTATTTTGCGGCCATAATCAGAACTCTGGAACAGAAGTGTGAACCTGTGCACCTCTACTCCCACCTCAATTCTACTGTACGTTGAAAATCCTTTATCCAAAATGTGTGGAACTAGACATCTTGCTGGTGTGTGTGTGTGTGTGTGTGTGTGGTCCCATCTCGCCCTGTTCTCAGTCTTTCCATGCATAGCTGGGATTTTCAGACCCAAATACTGAACCTGACATTTAATTCCAGGGCATTTCATCCTGTTAAATTCAGCCTATCATGCCTGCTTGTCAAAAACCTCAGCTCCTGATTCTGAAACTGAATGTACCTGTTAAGGGTACAGAAAAGGACCTTCAAATTCAGTTTTGAAGATTGCTTCCCTAAGTATTCTCTTTCAAACTTCTGAGAACTACCAATATCCCCTGTAGTGTCATCGGGTCTACTTGTCCATCTCTCCGATGGCTGTACAGATTTTGCAATTTGTCTCAAAGGCCAGCTGACAGCAGAGCCTGGCCATGAGTGCCTAATTACCAGAAGCCAGACCTAAAAGACAATGTCTGCGGCCAAGCCAGGCATCCTCCAGCTCAAGGCTGCACTGCACATCCTGTGTGTGGTTGGCTGAGTGGCCAAGGCAAAATAAATGCAGGGCTCTGTATGCCATGCAATTTCATCCAACCTTGTCTAGCCAGCAAAATAAAAGTCTCCTGCCCCAAACTCATTTTCTGCAAATGTAGACACAATGTCTTGATAGCAGTGACATATAACCTAAAGCATTATTTTAAACTGATGATGCACTTGGTTGAATGAAGACCAGTGCCCAGGTCAGACACGTTGGGTGACGGCCCCTACAGTCTAAGCAAATGGGGGCTGCTGCAGTTAAATACTATCATACTTTTAATCCTATTCCTGTTATAGCACTTCTAAAAATCACTTCTACCACAAGCTCTTCCTGATGCCATGTGCTTAACTCATATTCCTGTTCTTTGGAAAGCACATGTTCTTTCTTTTGTACTGTATTTTAAGCCATGAATAGTAACTATTTAAGTATTTTAAATGTTAGGATTGTCTGCTTTAACTTAAACAACTCACAGGAACCTAATAAATTCTCTTAAATGCATTAGTATTGCTCACAAACCCAGTAAGATTTCTATTTTAAAGAGAATAATAATAAAAAAGAACAATAGCAAAATACCAACACTGTAGATAAAAACAAAACAAAGCAAAAACAATAAAAATGATACAGGGTTTCAGAACAAAATGACAGGAATTAACAGTGATTGTTATATTACATACTGTTTTCTTCAGGCAAGTTGTTCAGATTACCAGATGTAAGAATGCAAGATTGATCAAACCATAAAGAGAATAAAAAATAAAAACAAAAGAAACCTTAGAAATGACAGAGTGTCACTAGACAAGATGGTAGGAATTCACCAGTGGTTGTTATATTGCATATTGCTGTCTTCAAATTAGGTATTTTCCCAGAAGAATTACAAACATCATACCAGAGTGATGTATGTGCGCCCATGTTTATAGCAGCACAATTTGTCATACCTAGTAAGATTTCAATCCTCCTAATCTAAATCAGTTACTTTACTGTACATCTTAATTTAAAAACACAGGCTAATGCGTTGCCTAGACAAAACTTTTTAAAAATAATCGTGAAATATCAAATATACAGAAATCTTTAAGCCAAAAACATGAATGGTATGGCTTTGGTTCTATGAAAATTTTCTACACTTAATTTTAATTTTCCTAGAATTAAAATATATTTTCCCATTAGGTAAACAAGTAGACCACTCCAAAAAATTTTGGAATATCTTTTTGACTTCTAGAGGTTGTATATACAAATGGGGATAGCAAGTAGTTTCTGCTTAGAGTCTTGTCTGTAATCCTTATAAGACACTCTGAAGTCAGATGTATATTGCAGCCCTACTCTCTACAATGAGGTGGGTCCAGATATTCCACAGCCCCCAGGATTTGAATTCTGTTACTAAAGTGCAGAATTCCCTAACCAAGGCTCAAGAGCTCAGTAACACTAACCACTGCCCACATAACTGAGATAACAGGCCACAGTAGTTCAGGAAATCTAGAAAGACTTCCCCAAAGTACTGGAATGTAAGCTAGATCCTTAACAATAGATATTTCCTCTAACACTTCAGTATGAAACATTTTAGACATGTAGAAGTTTCTTACAGAAAGAATTTTATAGTGAACACTATATCCCCTATCTAAATGCAACTACAGATTGAACATCCTTATCTGAAATGTGTGAAACTAGGCATAATTTGCTCTTTTGTTGGATTCTGGAAAATGTCAACAAATATGAGTATCTTGGGGACAGAATCTAAGTCTAAACATGAAATTCATGTATGTCTCACACATACCTTTTACATAGAGCCTGAAATAATTTTATATACTATTTTCAGTGCACCTGTCTTTTACCTGTGACTTGTCATATGGGCTGGGGATGGAATTTTCCACTTGTAGGGTCTGTCAGCAGCACTCAAAATATTTTGGATTTTGGAGCATTTCAGATTTCTGGGTTAGAAGTGTAAGTACTTTTTCTATTCTTATTTACTATCTTCCCATTCCATCCCACTACATCTCTGTCCATCCACTGAACCATCTTACTGAATTGTTGCTGTCATATTTCAAAGCAAAATGCTGGCATGGCAACACTTTTGCCAAAAACTTCAGTGTGCACGTCATAAATAGAGCGAAAGACTGATCTTACAAGAAGAACAGAGTAAGGTAGGTTGAAAACAAGAGAACCTTGCCTCCTGACCCCCAAGCTCCCTATCCTACGCCACAGGCTTTCCCTCCAAACCAAGAAGTCTCCGAGTCACACTCGTGGCATCAAAGCTTAGTCCCAGCTCATTCTCTGAAAAGAACTGAACAGCTTCTAGAGCTGTGTGGCCATGTCCTACCATCACCACACTACAGCTTCTCCAGAGCACAAAAAAAACCTGCAGAAATGCACAGAACATCTCTTCGCTAAGGCTGAGAAACCTTACCACACTTGCCCTGGCATCTCCCACGGCCAGCTGCAAAGATCAGCACTACCTGAGCTGCCACCTCACCAGGCATTGTGGTCTCAATTGACTTCATTTTTCCTTTCTCGTAAACTGCACGACTGAAAGTGAGCCCATCACTGGCTTCCCCTGCATCCT